GCCCCGAGCTGCCGCCCAGGAACGCGTCGCTGGGGAAGGTGGAGGCCGGGGGCTGCGGCTGCAGCAGCGCAGGTGACCTGCTAGGCGTTCGTTTTGTAGGCTGTGTTCATGATGCTTTTTTTAATTTTAAATTTTTAATTGATTTCAAGGAGAAAGGGAGGGAGAGAGAGAGAGAATCATCCACGATGAGAGAGAATCACTGATCGGCTGCCTCCTGCACGCCCCACACTGGGGATCGAGCCTGCAACACGGGCCTGTGCCCTGACCGGGAATCGAGCCCTGACCTCCTGGTTCCTGGGCCGACGCTCAGCCGCAGAGCGGCCTGCCGGGCCCCACGGGTCTTGCTCCGCGTCCCAGGAGGTGGATGTGTCCGGGGCCACGTGGGGGGAAGGGACCAGGGGCTGGTCTGCGGGCCCCACTGACCCTCTCCTCCCCTTCGCTCCAGCTCCGGACGTGAGCCCCAAGCCCATGTACACGTTCAGGATCCCCGAGGTGCACTTCCCACGGGTGCGCCAGTGCGTGCAGGCCTACTACCGGGACTGCGTGGCCCAGCTGAGCCACGCCATGAGCTGCGTGGCCCCTGCTGGGGCGCCGGGCGGTGACCTGCCGATTCCCGGCACATTCCGGGCAGCTGGCGCGGGGCCTCTGCTGTGTGGCTGTGTGTTTTGTCGCAGATAAGACCTCACAAGGAGGCTGGGCACATATTTTCAAAATCCCAAGTGTGTGCGGGCACCGCGCCGGCCCTGCCCAGGCTGGGTCCTTGGAGGCGCAGAGCGGGCGGGGCAGCCGGACAGACGCGTCGGGCTGAATGTTGAATGTTGGTGATGCTCTCGCCGGGGTTCTGGAAGGTTCTCTCCGGGCTCCTCGAAGGAGCGCTGCAGTGTTTGTACCCGGCAGGCGGAAGCCCTGTGACATGCACTGAGGTCTTGGCTCAGACACAGGCCTTTAGCTCGTCAACATCACTCAGGTGTTGACCCACTTTTGGTCGAGATCACATAAGGCTCTGTGTCTACGTGAGGTTTTTAAAAAATATATTAAAAAAATATTTTTATTGATTTTAGAGAGGAGGGGAGAGGGAGAGAAAGAGGCATAAATGATGAGAGAGAATCATGGATGGGCTGCCTCCTGCACGCCCCACACTGGGGATCGAGCCCACAACCTGGGCATGTGCCCTGACGGGGAATCGAATCGTGACCTCCTGGTTCATAGGTCGACGACACTCAACCACTGAGCCACCCGGCCGGGCTGAGTCGGGTAGTTTAATGATGAGGACATTAATGAATGCCTCCGGGTGTGCACGTGCATTCTTGTGTTCTCACAGCCACGTGCGGATTCTCACCTCGGCCTTGACGCCTCTTCCACAGGAAGCAGACGGTTTGGTTCTGATCAACATCGATAGTGGGAGCGTCACCTGCTCGGGCAGCGACATCCCCGACATCCCCCTGCTGGCGGCCCAGACCTTCATTCAGAGGTAACCGTGGGAGCTGCACGTGGGCAGCCTTCTCACTGGCCCTGTTGAGTACCTTTTCAGTCTGATATTATTGACAGACTAGAGGCCTGATGCATGAAATCCGTGCAAGAGTAGCCCTCCCAGCCCGGCTTTGTCCGGAAGGGTGTCCAGATGGTCATTCCGCTGCTCGGCCATTCGGTCGATTTGCATATTATGCTTTTATTATTATAGATACTTCATGTGTCTATAGTTTGGAAATTATTTGTGAATTTTAAATAATAAAAGCCATTTGTCTTTATTCTGATCTACCCTACATATCAGTATGGCCTTGCGGGATCCGGGGATGGTCATGGCTCCCAGGAATCCTACCTCTCTTCTTGCCCAGGACACTGTGCCCGTGACCTTTGCAGTTCCTTCTCTCCTTCACCCTTCCATCCACCTGTCCATCCATCCATGTACTTGTCCATCCATTCATCCACCTGGCCACCCATCTCTCCATCCACCTGTCCATCCATCCCTGCA